TACACTTCTGTTTACATCGTTGTACTTGCATGCTATATTATATATATATATATCACTATTCGAATATATATATATCACTAATAGATATATATTTACATATAAACATGTGTTGTGTGTATGTGTGCGTGGTAGTGTATTTATATATATTGATGTTGATGCAAGGAGATGTGCATATATATTTGTATATATTGTACTGTGTAATGGCATGTTTGTGTAATTGTGCGTGTATGAAAGAGTATAAATAAGTGTGTATACAAATACAAATTTATTCCTAAATATATATATTTATATATATATATTTATTTGCGTGTGCATGTGCATGTGCGTATATTGTTGTGACTTGTATAAAATGAATACATATATTTTTATGTTTTTTGTTTGTATGTATGTAAGTATGTATGTAGGTAGGTAGATATAGGTATGTATATATATATGTATACAATATATGTATATATATATATGTATACAATATATATATATATATATATATTTGTGTGTGTGTGTGTGTGTATATATATTCTTAACGTGTAGTTGTGCATCTGTATGAAACAAATGGTAAGAAATTTACAGTGCAATATCTACATGCCAATAAAAATGTGTCTCGTATGCGATAGGTAAACGTATATATATATACATGTAGCACAAACATAACCTTGCAAGTATACATCGCCATACGTATGATGCATGTGTATCTTATGCATATATAAAAAATACATTTATAAGCTGATGAGTGATTGTTGAAGCACTCATTTTCTCTATCTGTATTGTGGTTTTGTGATGAGTTTTTTCTCTTGAATTGCGATTCTACTAACTGATTTGTAAGTGTGCCATATATTTACGCCTAGTAAAAGTTCCTCCAAGGTGTATGTATAAATGGAGAGCATCTAAGCTGGTGGGACTGAACTTGAAATTGTGCTTGGATTGCTTGTTGTAGTATTATGAAACCACGCATTTCTATTTCAAATATTTCGATCTTGAAGCTCAATTGCCTCGTACGTATTGCGGAACAAGCCACACCTTGATCGATTTTTTACGTTGTGTAGCGGATACTCCAATTGCACCACAGTGTTGCCAACTGCACCTCTCTCTTATGTGAGTTCGGAGGACAGGGTTGAGGTGTTTATTCGTTCACGGAAAGCGAAAGCGATTGTCTGGCGATCTCTATCCGCAGATAATCATAATTGTTTGTTGCGTACTCACGCTGTTTCTTTTCCTCCTCACCTACAGAGCAAGAAAGACTGAAGCCGGCAGATATGAAGATTGTACGTAATTTCCTAACATCTGGGACTCTGAGTGATAAGACGAGTACACAGGCACTTCTACTGCAAGAGAGTGCACTGCACAATATCAAAACGCTCCGCAAACTATGTACCATGGCCAGTAGCAAAAACCAGAGGTAATCAATATGTTTGCTTGTTTACTCGAAAACCAGAGGTCATCAATAGGTGTGCTTGTATACTTAAGGCAAGCTTTGAAGTGACAACCTAACGTATGCGTACGATATACTTGCTGGCATACGCCTAGTTCGTATTGTTTACTGCATGCGCGATCCTGTTCTGTTTTTCATGTTCAAAATTTTAAAACCTGGGCTGTAAAGTCTTGTATTGTTTTAACTACAGTTCCGTAGTCAGTGCAATAGACTCGATCATACTCCGACCATGGCTATTTACTGGCTTGTCTTTGCAACTCTAGTCTGGTCTCACGTTATACTTTCAATATCAAGATCATCAACTTCTGAAAGTTTCATTGGACATGTATTTCTCGCGTATCAGAGAGAGCACTATGGCTGTAGAGAATCTAGAGGAAGTATGGGTTCGGTTTCTGCTGCCTGGAGACCGAAAGCTTAAGTTCTTCCACGAGCAGCCCCTGGCGAGTGCAGGAGCATCAGACAAGCACTTGAGCATGTGGTTCTTCGAGGATGTCCTGAAACGGTAGGTAGAAATTTATTTTTTTGAATACGTTATGTGGTGCAAACGCTAGTTATCATTCCTTTCGAAGATATTTATGGAGTAAAGAGGTTAGTTTGTATCATTTTACACGACTTGATGATTTGCATAACCACAGATTCTACTAGTGAATTGTTCATACTTGCAACGCACAAACGGATTTCTACCACATCTGTACTCCAAAGGCCACAATTGCCCGCGCACACCTATGTTGCTGAATGTAGCTGCTCCTTTCTGAACTGTCTCTTGTATCTCACAGATTATTTTTGCAATACGTTGGAGTTCTTGAGATGCTGTCACGATCACAAGTGCAGTCAATAAAATCCAATTCGCTCCGCATAGCACATGCGTTGTTGAGTGAGAAGCCTGAACAGGAAAAGAATCTGCTCGCACTCATTGTGAATAAAATGGGAGATACTGAGAAGAAGGTGGCATCAAAGGTATCTTTCAACGTACACGCTCATCTTCAAATCTTGCAATTCTTATGGGTGTGTATGGAAGAATTGTCCTTCGTGCACTCTATGCCTCTCGTTCGATTGCCTTAAGCTCTGATCAAGGCATGTCTCTTTTTCTACTCCTGTTTGCTTCTTCAACTTGTAGGTAGTCTACCTTCTCGGCCTGTTGGTGAAGCGTCATCCCTTCATGAAGACCGTTGTTGTTCGGGAGATAGAACAATTAGTATACCGCTCTAACGTTAGTGCCCGTGCGCGCTACTACTCTGTGTGTTTCCTCAATCAAATCATCCTATCACACGAAGAGGCTGAGTTGGCTACCACACTCATCGAGTTGTACTTGGCCTTGTTCTCTCACTTGGTAGAGAAAGGAGAGGTACGTCATAAGTTGTTGGTGAAGGGTTGGTGATGGATGAAATAGGCCTCCTGTGTATGAATGAGTGTGCGTATTATATGCCAGATCTCATCTACCTGGATGTTTGTATCTCCATGTGATAATATTTATTGGGTTTCGTATCATCACACTATCACGTAGTATTTTCGGGAATGCGATTGTAAATGTACTTTATCTGATGCATGTGTGTTGGGGTATATATGCATGTAATATGTTTTTATCAGCTTAATAGTGCTGATTTTTTTTTAAATATACATAGCCCGACCTGCTTTCAGTATCTCATATACTTCCATGCTCTCCTATAGAAGCAGATGTATTACTTATCCCTATAATGCTCTTACTGAAAACTTAATTTGACAGGTGGAGAGCAAGCTTCTAGCCGCTCTCTTGACTGGGGTGAACCGAGCTTTCCCATACGCCAACGTAACAAATGAGAAGTACAATGAACACCTTGATACACTCTTCAAGATCGTCCACTTATCCCCCTTCGCTACTGCCGTGCAGGCGCTCATGTTGTTATTTCAGGTATATATCTATAGTATTTGTACATGAAAATGTAGCACCGGTGAAGCTATAAGCATTTATCCTTTCGATTTTTGAGACCTTGGATTCATTTTCTCCTAGTACGTCTCCTCGATGTAGATATACTCCATTCGGTGAGAGCTTTCGTAATAAGGGTACTGAAGTTACTCTGTTGTACATATTCACAGGTCATGCACTCTCGGCAAACAGTCACCGACAGATACTATAGGACCCTATATCATCTGCTCTGGTCTGTAGATGCATATGCAACTGCCAGGCATGCTGCGTTTTTGAACATTGTATACAAAGCCATGACAGTAGATCAGTCAATACCTCGAGTAGCTGCTTTTACGAAACGATTACTACAGCTATGTATGGAGCAGGTATGCATAGTAATTAAGCCATTCCTGTGGACTACATATGTCACGAGCGTTTTTAAGCCAGTAAGAATGCACTGGCACTGATGTTCATTAATCGTTTCGCTATTTGTGTATCGAACGTAGTATTCGTCCTCTTTATAACTGTTCTGGCGCAAAATCTAACCGCGCACTATCTACTTCATCAGGAACCCCCGTTTGTCACTGCTGTACTGTTTATGATATCACAAATTATAGTCAGCAAGCCACAATTACAAGCTCTGATCACAGTAAAAGCGCCCAAACCTTCCTTCGACGACACAGCGGCCGACCAAACGGAAACAATAAGTATGGTTGATTTATTCATCTGAATACAGATACATTATTTTCAACAACAAAAATTGTCCGTATATTTTTTTTTGAAATCAAGTATTACGCACATGTATACGCGTATATGATATGTATTTTATTGTATATAGCATTATTATTATATGATATTCAATTTTATTTTATTTTGTGTGTGCGTGTGTGTGTATTTGTATGACTATATATGTGTGAATTTGCTGATATATATTTATTATTCCTAAATGTGAGACTATGCCTTCTTTCCAGCTTATATCTTGAACAACCCAAAATTTGGAAGCCATGCCAAAATCTTAGAGTCAGTGCACATTTATTCACTATCCTATTTCTATTTTTTTACCCAGGCACGGTGACGGAGGCCGAAAGTAACAGCGAGGTTGAGTCGGAGTCAAAAGAATCCAAGGAAGCCAGGCAGACACCCAAAAACTGGGCCAGTGTATACGGTAGCTATGATCCCACCAAAAGAGAACCACTATACGCAGGGGGTGACACCACGTGTTTGTGGGAGCTCACCCTTCTGGCGAGACATTACCATCCTTCGGTGGCGAAATTCGCTGCAACCATACTGATGGGCAGGTATGTGCCCGTGGAGCTTACTTTTCAACATGACTTGCCATTGCGCTAGAATTTCCTCAGGTTGTATACTGTGGTAAATACTAGGAGTATCAATGGTACTCCATAATCTGTGATATTATTTTGGTGAGGAGCTTTTAGCCAGTATATTCATACTTTCAACGGCCGCTTGCCCGCCTTACTTTATTCTCATATCTAGCTTGGGCCCTTCACACTACAGGAAAATAGAGTACTCGTCCGATCCGTTGGTGGATTTCACGCTGATACATTTCTTGGATAAATTTGTATACAAAAATGCAAAGAAGAAGGAAAGTACACGCGGCATCAGTCTCATGCAACGGCGCAAGTTTGCGGCAACTGATGATGATACTACTTCTGAGGTATGTGGTTGCAATCGTGTAGAGACATATATCATTAATTACACCCCTCAAAAATACTGGTGGATGTCTGAGTGCTTCACATGTTGATTGATGAGCCTAAGTTATAGTTATCTTTGGTCCTTACACCACATCACCATACGGATACGCCATATCTAATATTATTGCGCTAAACTTAATATGCGGATCGCTCGTCATTTTCCATGCAACAGAAATTTGCCAACAAGATTCCCAGCCTGGTGGCACCCGAGAATATGTTCATGCATCAATACTTAACGGAAACAAAGACTGCCGAGAAACGGAAAGCAGACCGAAAGAAGATAAATAAACGAGGCGGTGATATAGATGATATGGAGATAGGTGACGATCAAGCTGACTTGGGCGATGACGAGAAGTTCCGAAAGGCTATGATGGAGGCCTCCGGTATAGCCGAAGTATCGAGTGATGGTATGCACACCTTGTACGGCTATTTAAGTCAGATTGATACAGCAATTGAGAATTTAGTGTCGCGTATCTCTCCAGCTGTGGAATGATGTTCGCATAGATACATAACTTGTTACATACATTTACGCCCAACTATCTCCACCACGAACATGACAAACCCTGAGAATGTACACACTAAACACCATATATTCGTGACTTTTGTAACACATATCAGAGGATGCCGCAGAAGGCTTCGCTGCTGGATCAGATGGCGAGTACGAGTACGATCAATTAAAGGCTGCTGGTGATGGTGAAGATGACGGGGCTGATGGCGATGGTATGGAGAATGTGGATTGGGAAGCTGTCGCAATGGCTCCCAGCAGTGACGATGGCGAAAGTGGTGATGATATAGATGGTAGGGCGATTGGAACGTATATACTTCTATATCCTATTTTCTTATTTTGTATACAATGTATAGCTGTTGCAAATATGGCAATGGTTTATTCATTTGTTGATGAAAGTGTGCTAGTATACCTTGGAGTTGGTCTGATGCTATAATAATGTTTTGCTACCTACTACAACGTGCAAATATTCTCACAATCATTTCACCACTTACCTGAACATGGTGATTTGTTTTCTTTCCTGCGTCAAATAGATGAGGACATGCCCCAATCAATCGCTTTCGGTGACGATGACAGTGAATCAGATAGCGATTCAGATGAAGTGGAATCAGAAAGCAAACTTCATCGTAATGTGAAGAAAGACAAGAAGAAGAAGAAGGCGTCGGTGTTTGGAGATGCGGATGATTTTGCTGAGTTGCTGGAAAATGCTGGAGAGGTGTGTATGAAAAATTCTGTGTAACTGACCTGTTTGGTTATCTCAGGCGATATTACCAAAGCCATCCAGTAAATCAGGGGTTTCTTTGGTGTGGATTGGTTGCTAATAGATCTTCCCACCCTTTTGCAGAATAATGATTACAAACAAGATGCCCATGAGAGACGGAAGATGACCGGTGCAAGAGACAGTCGCAAACGTATGGGTGGAAGCAGGGGTGGTCGTGGAGGGGGTTCGAAGAGGGCTCGAGGCGGAAGATCAAGATAAAACAATATCTGGCTTAGCGTAACATTGTCGAGTAAAGCTGCCATGTCATGCGATCCTTTTATCATTGTTTTGTGCATATATCGTCATATCGCCGAATCGGATATTGTGTCCGAAAATTGATTGTGGATGTATTTTTATTCCAATGTATTAATTGATACGTTTGAGTTTTCATATACATTGAACTGTACATCAAGTTCAGCTTGTTTGTTTTCACTTTATTGTAGATTCGAGTAAATCACTTGATTTTTTCTACATGGATACTATGCATGTACTCTCGTCCGCGAGATCGAATCGGTATGTATCGTCGTACTATAGAGTGGTGCTGACCAGGTGTGTGACTTCATGCTGGGCAAAATTCAACTGGAGTTGGGTCATTCCTTGGAGTCGCTCCGTAGTACATGCGTCACTGCCTGCTAGCATTTTCTGTCTATTGTGCGAAATTCAAATATCCTAAACAAGGAATATATGTGGAAAGGAGTTATTCTACCTGTATAACTGAAGGGTAATTGTGCATGTATTCCATGGTCAAGAGGCGATGGAAATATTATCGTGCATCGTATTCTCGTATTATCAGTCATCCAAGACAGATTAGCTCGAGAATTCTCATTCCGTTGTGGTGTGATGATTATCATCTATATACTAATTCTGCCAACTTCTGTACATACTACACGACTGGGCTCGGAGGACACTCAGAGACCTGCCCTCCGAGACCATTAGACAACTGTTGTCTTCTGCCTGATCTCGCACGGAACGGTTGTATACTGGTCCAAAGGACCACAATATAGCACCCCAAAACGTAAGATATATTATCTTCTTATATAGATTTGTGCGTTCTGTGTACGCAATTATCCAACATGGATTTGCATCGATATAAATGCGACTGTAGACGGCTTGCCAGTAGACACTGCTTCGGTAGCTCATCTACATCACGAGATTAACTACTAGATCGGAATGAAAAGCTAAAGTCTAAGCCAAACAGCAATCGCATCAGCCAGGGTCGAAGAGTAGCGGCACCAGCATGACAAGAAACGAAGTGGATCAGCGTCAAATACTGCAAATGGCCACTTAGACCGTCCCGAGTACCAACAATTATTTTTCTCCTATTTACATATCGATACCTTACTTGAGCCCTAATCGTGTTTCGGTTAGTGCTTACGGACAATTAAATGGATAGAGTGCCTTGAGTAGATGAGACCTTGCACTTTCAAAGGCCACAGTCATTGCACTCATCCTTGACCTCTATTTAACTGTATGGTAGTCACTTGAACCTCTGAATTACGATCTGACTATGGTGAGACCTTAGTAGTATAGATCTCATACTCGCTCCTGATTGATATCATATCTCATGTCATATAGACTTCAGCTTTTCTGATTGACATGAAGTCTTAGTCATATAGACCTCATAGCAGCAACTGATAATGGCGAGATCCTTACAACATGACGACAGTGAGATCTCAAACTGTATAAACCTCGCACTCGGGTCTGATTAATATGAGTCCGTCCGCTCCAGCTTCATACAATTCGTGTAGATTCACTCCTCTTCGTCACATAGGGGTGTGCTCTAACCCGCCATACTTCATTGAAATTGGTTTCATACCACACCCTTCGGTACAATGAACGATAGCTTGTCACCTGCTTGACCCCATCCAATACGGTGCTGCTGATAGTAGAGAAACCAACTTGTGATCACACACGCCCAAATACCTACGCCTACTAAAGATAACCAGACATACTTTTTAATTTCCTTGTCTTGAGACGCGCGTGCCGTAGGCCAAAACCAGACGAAGTTTATCAACCAAACTAAAGGCAGCAGTACAAAGCCAATGTAGAAGTATTTTCTGGCAGTTTCTTTCTCATATTTGAATGTGCCTGTGGAAGTGTCTTGAGACATACTTGCGATAATTAAGGTTTTCAGCGGTAGATAGATCTAGCCGAGTATCAATCGACAAAGTGATCGTCTCTTGTAAATATATTTTTTAAAGTACACACATACACCATATGTAAACAATAATATTAAAAATATTTACATACATATTACATACATATGTATTTGTGATTTTTGTTGACCCTTTTTTTTTAATTGAAGGCTAGTGATCTTGGTCTCTTGTGGCTACGTTATTTATTAAAATCTATTTTTTATTTTTAGGTCCCTCGGATTTCCCAAAGTTCGGACCTTATTCTCCAAATCCAAAATCGGTCATAGCCCCCTAAATTGTACAAATCAGCCCAAAAAATATAATCACAGTTTGGCGCCAAAAAAAAATACAAATTCCCAAATTCGGTATCAGTAGCTTCATTCTTAGGTCATCAGCAGTCTTTAGTCCTCGTCGTCCTTGTGTTCCTTATATTCTTAGTGAAAGCCTGAACTCTAACGCTGGACGTGGACTGCTTTTATAGTCCGCCGGGACCTATCTCTATCTATTCCCGAACGAACTTGTACTACTAACATCCTAGGCTATTAACTATAACTATAACACTCGTAGTGAGAGGGGAAGGTACGGGCCTAGAAAACCCTCTGCCACGATGTTCTCGAACTTTATCATGGCGTCATCGTCTATGTATATTCGTAGACACTTTGCTGTGTTCGTTAATATACATTGACAATTTTAAGTATGACCCATGTAGAATGACACTCGAAAATTATCAGGGCATGTCTATATACGAATAACCCTGGCTTGGACCCTGAAATAAAAACCCAATATGAATTGCTGAAATCATGACTCATCATTTGGGACCCGCCAAAATTCAGGGTACCGAAGAGTCTCGAAAATTCATTAAGATTCCCGGTACTCTCACACGCCCGCCAGCCTAAGGATGCGCCGGTGCTAAGCGCTTCTGGCGTCCATTGTTCTCATCATTGACGAACTGACGGATGCCCTTAATGTATGGCTTTGACCGATCCGAAGAGTTCAAAAATTTATTCATGAAGTCCTCCTTAACATCCTCTGGGACCAAATCCTTCCAAGTCTCTGGGCAAAATTTATGCAGAGTGGTCAAGATTGCGACGAATACTTGAATTCCATTTCCCCAGACTTCGTTCGAATATATCGCTCGAACCGCTCAGCAATAGCCTAGAACCATTCAACCGTATACAAGTACTCCTTCAAGGTAACTAGTACTTGTGCTGGCTCCGACCTGTCTTCTTGGCTGGCGACCGCTAGCTTAAGCTGTTCACGATGGGCTCTCACAGTTCGGCCACCTCGTGCCCGAATATCGTATTGATCGCCATCATACGGACCACGAACAACGAGCAAGCCTTTCCCAACCCACGCAGTCTGATCCTTGTGTTGTATGGAGTCTCGACACTTCCACACAATATTACCAACCTCGAGCGGCACAAGCTCGGTTGTAGTAGCTGTGGCATTTGCAACACGTTTCACTTGTGCCTTCAGCAAATTCTCGCAAGCCTAATCTAAGATTTCCATGAAGTCCCATTTTGACCCCGCATCACTAGTCCAATTGGCGAACATTCCGATCCCGCATGAACTATTCGGTTGGATGCGAGTATCACCTCCCATATATCCTTCGCCGTACCAGAAGCTAAACTCTTGTTCAGCCAGTCCTTCATAGTACGGTTGGCCCTCTCAATTTGATCATTGGCCTCGTGGCGCTCAGCGCTCAACTGTGGTAACATGGACATGTGCCGCCAATCGAGCCCAGAATCCAACAAAATCGCTTTTGTCGAACTTCTTGCCTGAGTCAACCACAATTTCATCGGGTATACCAAAAGGTAGCAACACATCAATGACTACCCTCAAAGTAACCAGAGATGCCCTGCTTGACAACTCATGACCCCAAATCTACTTTATGAACTTCTCTTGCGCTAGCACGATCATTTGAGTGCCCTGTTTCTGATTGCGCAAAATATAGAATACATCCACGTAAATTCACTGCATGAAGTACCGGGCTTCTTGTGCAGTAGCAGGCAATCCACGAACCATGCCGCGTCGTATAAGTGCACATGGCCTGCAATCCTGGATCACCCTGAGGCATTCTTGCTCCTTCACTTCTTCATTGGTGATCTTTTGGTAAAAGTCAACCAATCTCTTGTAATCGACGTGAGCAAGGTCCTGATGTAGCTCGAGTAGCAGCTCGTCTGTGGTTAGTTCATCCTCGTCGCTTAGCAACGTCATCGCCATATTAACCGCCTCGTCATCGATTCCGGCGAGTCGAGATAACGTATCCGCGTCACCCGTATCCTTACCCTTAGCATATGAAAATGTGAAGTTGAAGTTCTGCAACTGTAGAAACCAGCGTCGAATTCGTCGACCTCGCACAGTATCATCATTGCCCAAACGCTTCCAAAGTCCCAACAACAGTAAATGGTCGGTTTCTACATATACTTGACCAGGCGGTCTATCAAGTTTAATTGATCAGCGATCAAAAGCCCAGACGACAGCTAATGCCTCCAACTCTGTGATTGAATACAATTGCTGCGCTGAGTTCCATCGTGTCGATGCAAAGGATACCGGTACTACACCTTCGGCTCTAGTAACGTACAGTGCTGCCCCCACAGCCCATCCTACTAGCATCCGTGCATATTATTAGTACGTCATCCTCTTGTGGTGAAGCTAGCGTTGGTGCCTGATCTAACACATCGAGAAACTTATCCCACGCACACTGTTGCTCCACTCCTCACTCAAAGGTTACTCCATTCTTCAAAAGTCTAGCCAACGACTTTAAGACTAAGGAGAAGTCCGATACATATCGATGCCACCAATTAGCTGTGGCATACAGACTGCGTCGCTCTTCTTTGCTCTCGGGCATTCGCATTGTCCGCAGAGCCTGTGTGGCCTCGTCCTTAATTGACGAGGACCCACTTCCTGTTAGAGTGCAATGTAGTAGACTTTAAATAAAGTGCGAATGTGTGTATTTATTTCTGACCTCACCTTTTGTTTTATACCTGAGGTGTTTGTGCTAGTGTTTAACCACTTGGGCTGGCCAGGGTAAAAACTCATATGGTCAGTATGAGAAACTTTATGCGGAACACTTTAACACTTCGATGCTTTTGTATTTCAACTTCTCTGCAGCTAAATCTCACGCTGATCACATGATGTCGTTCCCCATAGGTTGTGACTCACATAGAACCGCAGCTATTTATATAATGTTGCGGTTGACAGGCTTAATCCACTCTCTGAAATCGGTTGAGAAACTTAATCTACTCTCGAAAGTCGGTTAAGTAATAACTAAACTCTTGAAAGTAATTTGAGCAACTTGATTAGCTCTCGGGAGTGAGCTAACTCTGATGACTTCCATAAATCAAAGATGGTTTCTTGCTGTAAAATCTGGCCTGAGAACCTGTAGTCTCTCACTCCCCCTCAATTTTACAACAACAAGGGGCTGAAGTCTGAAGGCTGAAAATTGGAAACTGAAGACTAATGAATGCTGAAGACTTAAGACCTGGATTGTGAAATTGTTGACTCTGTAGATGGATTGGGCGATAGGCGTTGAACCAATGTATATTTGTCGAAGATGTTTACGAATTGGTGCTGTTGAGTATTGTCTCGATGGAAATTGTTGAAAACGTTGACTTTTCTTAGGATCCAACACCCACTCTGTATCAATCATAGATGATTTTTCTAGCATGGCCAAAGAGTATCCGATCCGCGATCTGAAAGCGACAACAGTTTTGGATGCTATGTTACACACCTTCGATGAATGGTACATCATAAGTCATCGCCGAGTTCAGTGCATACAAATCGATCGAGGCTCACAGTTTACAGCAAACGTAACGAGGCGTATGCTTGCGTATTTGGGATACTGCTAGAGGTACGCACCTACGGCCACGCCACAATACCATGGCAAGGTCGAGAGACTCTATGGTACACTGGTCCCTAGGATGCTTGCACAACTGAAGTATGCACGTCTACCGACTACTATGTAGGCTGAATCACTGATTCAAACTACCAACATATACAATGCTATACCCACCGACGAGAAGAGCTCATCCCCATACGAGAAGTTTACAGGATACGCATTTCCGATAGATATGTTCAGAACATTCGGGTGTCACATCACATACAAGAACCGTGATCCCAGACGGCAAACTCGACGACAAAGCACTGGAAGGCATTTTTCTTGCGCAACCCTTGGGCACGACACTGGACTCGTATCGTATATACTAACCTCTGACCAAGCGTATAATACAAAGCCGAGACGTGTATCTATTCGAAGATGAATTCTTTGTCTGGAAAGACAACAAATGTACAACCGCTATTGCATCACCTGACACTACGAACAGTAGTACATTCCTCCAAATCGAGAATGGCGATTTCCAAACAGACACAAGGATAAAGTCGACAACGGAAGATATGCTTAGCCAACAAGCCCAACCAACTGTGACGCACAAGTCGAGCAACTCAGAGCTATTACAAATAACTTCATCGTCAACACAACAACCTGCTGAGACCGAAGTATATACCGTCGAGTCGGAGGCTACTGTAGCGACTACCAAAACACAACATGGTCTCAAAGCAACCATAGCTAGAAGAACGGCAGAAGGTCGCCAAGTCTCTCGAGAACTGCGGGACCTTGCGATAAATGATAATAATGTCGACTGGTATCACGATAGCCGCCGTAAGAGACGAACTCCCAGCACTACGCACACTGTCAATTCAGCAACTACAGCAATGGACCCGAAAACATACAAAGGTATATATGAGGTGCCAAACGCAGCCGATTGGGAGGAATTATCACGTTCGGAGATGGAGAGCTTGGTGATACATCGCAAGGCATTCACTCTGGTTGACAACAAACCGCGAGAGAAATCATTATTTCCCCCTCGATGGGTCTTCAAGGCAAAAACGGATGAATCAGGACAAGTCACACGACTCAAATCATGTCTGAACGTAGCAGCATTCAATGCAAAACAAAGAGTCGATTACGATGAAAGCTATGCCCCAGTAGTAGCCAAGGAAACGCTCAGGATCTGTCTAGCTCTATTGGCACACTATGACATGGACATTCGACAATACGATACATCCTCAGCCTACCTCACTCAAGAACTGGATACCCCTAGCTACATGTGAGTGCCGCAAGGATACGATCTCATCGAACATCTATTGGACCCGTCTCAGAGAAAACTAGACGAAAGGCACCAGCAAGGAGACACGAAGGTTGTATGTCGAGTTGACCGTTGCGTATAATGTCTACCACCTAGCGGACACTACTGGTTTAATGTTAGAGTGCAATGTAGTAGACTTTGAATAAAGTGTAAATATATGTAAAGTATGGTGCATTCGAATGAATTTATTTATGATCTCACCCTCAGTCCTACCTACTGATGGTGTTTGTACTAGTGTTCATCCACTTGGGTTGGCCAGGGTAAAAACTCATATGATCAGTATGAGAAACCTTATGCAGAACACTTTAGCACTCGGATTTATTTTCTAGAAATATATATTATATATTATCTGTTAGGGTTTTAGGGTTTTAGCCTCGGCTCTCGGCTAGCCGATAGCCCGTGTCCTATAAATAAAATAATCCGAGAAGATGTCTCAAATTACTCTTATGTTCTCTCGGGCTGACCCACATATACTTATATTAATTCGAGAACAAGTCCCAAAATACTCTCGGGCTGACGACGTAGAACGTTATTAACGTATATAGAAATACGTCTACTACTGTAGTCTCTCAATACAACACAGTTATAAACAAGCACATTCGGATGGAGCACTGTTCATCAAACAAGCACACATTGGACCGTGCTTAATTATTGTACATGTAGATGACAAAATTGCAGCATGCCAGAGTAAGACCGACGGACAGAAACTAGCTGACGCAATGAAAGGCGAATGGAACACTGTTGATATGGGCCTACCGTTATGATTTCTCAAGTGCGAAGTGGAAATACGCCCTGGAAAAGTACGTCTCCATCAACGACAATACCTAAGATAAATATTGCAGGAATGAGAGTTGATAGATTGTAAACCAGCATGGGTGCCAATTCTAGAATCTGACTATAAAGTAACAGACAAACATACATATCTCCCGGAAAAGGCGGCAAGCTCAGACGTCCCAACAATCACACAATACAACAAGCTAGTTGGTCAGCTACGATACTTTGCAGATCAAACACGAGTGGATATATGCTTTGCAGTTTCGATCATAAGTCGTTATCTGATAGCACCTCAGTACCACCACTTCAGAGGTGCCAAGCGCTGTTTGAAGTATCTCACTGATACTCAGGACTTCGGACTTGAATACACGAACAAAGAATCATGTATTCCCTATCTGAGTGCAGACAGTAGCTTTGCTAACGATGACACAACAAGAAGATCCACCACTGGGCGAGTAGGCATTATAACAGGTGCACCATTCATGCGGGGAACGAACTTGCAACGACTAGTAACAACGTCTACAGCAGAGGCAGAATACGTAGCACAATCTGATACAGCCAAAGACGCAGTATGGGATAGGAATATCTTCACATAATTCGGCATTCCGCTCGTAGAACCCACCACCATAGAACAGGACAACAAGTCAGCAATACTGATGGGAAATGGTATCACGAAATCCCGCCCTACAAAACATGTCGATCTACGATATCATCACATCAGGGAACTCACATCGAACAACACCATCAAGCTAAAGTATATACCATCAGAACAGCTACTCAGTGATTTTTTCACGAAG